CTATTTTAATCCCCTTTTATTTATTCCTGATGTAAGTGGTCATATAAATTTCTTAATTATCTAACTTGTAGTACCTCAATGTGCTATCTACCTGGAGGAATCCGGGGATCAACGCCCCCATGGCAAAGGTTATCGATCAGGCTTCCTGGTGGTTCAGGGGCCATGATCAACGAGCGGTTACTGCTGGGCGCACGTAGTCCGACATACGAACCACAGCCCGGCTGATCCGGCAGGCAATGACTTTAGGTATCTGTCCAGCCTCCCATCTTGAAGACACCAGGAGGTTGTACGAATGGTATATAATACCGACAGATGGTAATTAAGACACATGTGCATCATCTGGGTATCTTTATTGTAGACGTTTTTCTCCATCCAGTGGCTTTTATCAATACATATTCTAGGATATAATAGAAGACAGTAGAACGATATACAAAAGATGAGATAATCTGTCCTATCAACCTAGGAGTAGGTGCGAAGAGCACCATAGTCGTGGAGATTCAGTATCTCCACGTCTACGGTGCTCTTCGCACCTACTACTAGGTTGAGGGACTGATTAACCTCATCTTCCGTACATAGTTATACTGTCTTCAAGTTATGTCCTAGAATTTGTATTGTTAAAACACTGGATGGCGAAACGTACTACCAATTAAGTTTACCACAGATGTTGCCATGTGTCTTAATTTCATCACAACAGGAGTTCTATTGGTAATGCCCATTTGTGGCTGGTGGAGGCTGCTGAACAGTCTTGGGTGTCCCGGACACTTAATGTGTTTTCTCTTAATTTTACCAATGGCGGCCTACTTTTCATGGGGGTATGTTGATCGCTGCCAAGTCTTTTTCTTTTGTAGGGGAGTATTTTCTGTAGTGAAGTTAGGAACCAGTCCCTCCAAAATTCACAGGTGTAGGTTTCATGATTTATCTCTCTCGACCTGCGTACCAGTAGTGTAAAGTCGAGTGCTTCCAGGGCATCCCAGTAGTTAAGGTGTTTGATGGAACGTATACGACTACAGTTTAGAAAGGTTCTCTGTACATTCTTAGATCCGATATTTCACCTGTTCTTGTATGGGAAGTTAATTGTTCTGCAGATTCCAGCCTAGAGTGAACAAGTGATTTAAAAGGATCATCATTGGCTTAGCTCTCTTGTCTTGTATGTTATCTTTATCCATCCTCTCAGTTCATCGCACGATGGTGAATAGTTGGGCATGGTTGTGGTACTTGAAGGTGTGGTTGCGCGGACATTACCACACCCAAGGTCTTTCACATTACTTTTCCATTATATGTTTGTGATTAGAGTTTGTGGTATACTCAGTCCTAATTATTATTTCCTTCAGTTTTCCATAACGGAATAGTAGGAATGTGTCTTCATTGAACATCATATTGTCTAGTTAACAATTGGAAAACTTGGGTTATATCTTCTTGGAGATTTGATTGTCCTTAATGATTGCACTCTCATGGCAGACAATTACTAGTATCATCTGCAAAACGGTTGATACAGTGCTATGCTTTACATCTCTGTCTGTCTGATAAGAGAATGAGGAACAGAATAGGGGCGAGTGTCAATTAGAAAATTCTTACTGTGTGTGTATTAGTGTTCCCACTAATCCTTTCTGGAGATTGTTTCCTTTAATTTTCATACAGTCCACACTTTTATATTTTACCATTATTGGTATTAATGATTAATACTGTATTTATTATTCCCTCAAGGGAGGTTTCCTTGACGCCGGGGAGGGCGCTCTTGATCTAGGTAAATTGGATCTGTACTCGTGGTTCCCTGAACTCCGCCGAAATACTCCATCCCCCCACTTGCGCTGTGATAATCAACGGGTTTTGCGCTATAACCTGATTTTTATAAGTATAAATTATTAATTTAAAGTTCTAAGGTTAAGCTTTTTGTGAGTGGTGAAGGGACTGGTGGGCATCGAAGGAGTTAATGTCGTGTGACCTACTAGCTGGGACTAAGTCCATACTTTCTCACCCAAATTACTTATATTGTAATATTTCAAGGTCTAATTATCCTGTAATACATTCATGCAGGTAATTTCTCACAACTCCCATTTATTTCATCTTGTATAACACTATTTATCCCTTGTTTCATTTAACTCATCCTGTCCACTTTGCAGTAAATATAAGAATCTGTGTATTAGTCGACTTATGGGGAGCGAAAAGAGAAAAAAAATTGTATACAAATATGTTTGAAACACCAGACATGCTAAATCATATCCTGGGCAAAATACCAACGTGAGAAAACTTAAGACCCACCTTGGAAGTGTTCGTATGTTTAGCGAAAGGTATAAACCATCGTTACACTTTAGTCACATCATACTTGTTGAACCGCATCACTACCCAGGCACAGACGTCGGTATCATTGTCATAACACTTCACTGCATTGGCTGTCACGTGGGTGTGTTTCACTTATTTCATACACATCACTTCCTAGGGCATTATTCTCACCGACATTGTATGTCAGCGCAACGAGGCACAGGAATCACGTCTTCGTGGTCCTTGGCTTGATTTTCCTAATACCGTCGTCTCTCACCTCCTCACTAGCCGGCTGACTCGTCCTGACTGTACCTTGGTTGGAGTGTCGACTACGCGAAGGTCTTTAGGCTGCATATTCCCTGTCTGCTTAATGATAAGATATATACGTAAGATATACAGCTATCGATCCTATATACATTATCATAGACAATTTTGCAATAATATACTGTTGATATAAAAGTATCGGTTATTTATAATGATAGTATTTTGGTGTATATACAAGATATAAACATCTGTATGTATATTCTTGAGAGATATAGACATTTAGGTGTATAATATACACTTGAGAGATAGACATTTCAGTGATGTATATCTTCACATGTGCAATTTTACGTAGCTGAAGTGAATATCATTAACTGCATGTTTCCTTACCCATGTCGTGTTGTTAATCAATAATTAATCAGACATATTGGTGTATCTTACGATGGATTTGTGTACATCTTCCGCCGCTACAGTATTTTTGTGCAGTATACCTCTCGCTTGATATTTATACATTTGTCTAGTTAGGGTTTCTCGCCCAGCCTTTAACTAGCGCATTGAATCCGGGATGGCAATCACAGATGCTTGAAACGATGGTTAAACTAACTACGTGAACAATCATTAAACCTGTCGCTGATACGTGTATAGATCCAAAATGCATAACAATTGGTTCTCATGATATTTTGACAGTCACTGTAGCACGTGGCGGTGTAGAGGTATGGTTGCATACGCGGCTCGTGGAAGGTAAAGGGCTCTTGATCTGCCTGATTACCATCATTCCCAGGCGCTGTTTGATTCCCTACGGGTTTAGAGAGCTTTCCCATGAATATTTCTGTATGGGCAGGATTTTTTTTTTTGTTTTGCCCCTGGCAGAAACACTGCAATAATGAATAGTAAGCTACAGCCATACAGAAGATTGAAAAAAAAAAAAAAAAAAAAAAATAAAAAGAAAAAAAAAAAAATGGTGGAAGAGTTTTTTTTATTGCACCAAAAAAATTATTAATCCAGTCTTTTAGCTATTCTAGAGGGACAAAACCTACGCTCAGACAGAAAAAAAAAAAAAAATAAGAAATCTTCTCGTTACTGTTGACTTGATGCATAAGCATCCTCAGGAGACGAGCTCTCAAGACCACTGCCCAAAAAAATTGGATGTTATGTGTGAAAATTGCATTTAACTGTATGTATATTATGTACATAACAGTAATTGAACAAAGATAATTATTATTTATCAGTTAGACAAGTAGGAATTTGGACACCTAGGGTCACAAATAAATGTCCCCCTTCGATACCTACCATTGTCATATCACAAGTTGCTCTGGACCTATTAATCATAAAGGAAATATTACATCACCGAGGATGACTGGGTAAATATATAAATTTGTGGGACAGTATATTAATATTAAAAATGATTATATATAAATACACATTTCATATAACAGATGGAGAATATATCTTTATCATAACATCACGACAAATTGGATGGAGATTAATGTGTCATGTAACAAGGACCCCCTTTTGACCAACATTTATGAAATAAACTTAATGGCCAGAAATTAAACACAAAATTAGAAAGTCATCTGAGCGTTCCTGGATGTTGTCTTGTCCTGTCGCGATGATATCTCAAGTTATGCAGGGAATGCACATCCAACAATTTCGCCTCCTATTTCAGAGGTGTCAGCCCAATTTTAAACCTCTAGTGCACGAAAATCTCCTTCCCATTACACTACAACATTGTTTCCAATTTCAAAAACAAACAATGACGACTCCTTCTGCCCAGGTTGCAGAAAAAATTCCCATTTTCTTATGACAAATTTTTATTAAATACAATATAAGCCATCTATTTACATATAAATTACCGTATTTCGGAAAAATATACATTATTATTATTTTAATCATAGAGGGATGCGCCTAAAACCAGTAGGTGTTATACAGACCCGCGGAGGGGGGATGTGGAAGGCATTCAGGCTTAATTCGGGGAACTGGAGCACAGTTCCAATTCCCTAAATCAAGAGCCCCTCACCAACATCAAGGAACCTTCCATGAGGGGCGGAAAATATACAATGTTTTCCACATTATGTATGTAATGTTATTTATTACTGTTATTACCTTAACCAAGCGCTAAACCAGTATAATGTCACATAAAAACATTAAACAATAAATGATAATTAAAATGGCCACCTCTTTCCAGATCTTTTTTAATTATTATTATTATAATCAAAAAGAAGCGCTAAGCCACAAGGGCTATACAGCATAGATCTTTTTTAAAAATAACAATAAAAATCCTTACACTGATTTAATATCCTGTGATTATTATTATTATTATAATCAAAAAGAAGCGCTAAGCCACAAGGGCTATACAGCGAATATCCTGTGATGCTATGGGCTAGGCGACAGACTGGTAATCTCAAGATGGCTTGAATCTCAGTCTCTCCACAGAACTCTTACTAATTTCAAGGTTTGATTCGTTTAATTTCTCTACGAAGATTGTGGAGACACGTGAGGGAGGCACGCGAGAGATCTGAGTGTGTGGAGGAATGGGCTGCCTTCGTCAGGATCTCAGGCAGTAGTGTTGGAGGCTTGTTACCACAGACCATCATCCAAGCATACTACTTTTTCACAGACTTTGCGTCCAGGGACACCAATTTCATCAGTGAGTTATTATTATAATCAAGGGGGAAGCACTAAACCCATAGTATTACACAGTGCCTGGGGGGAAGGTATTCAGGCTTAATTCAGGTGAAACTGGAGCACAGATTCAATTCCCTAAATCAAGAGCCCTCACCATCATCAAGGGCCTTCTTGAGGGGCATTAGTGACGTATAAAATGTTATTTTGAAGTAATATCTTTAAATTATATACATATTATATATTATGATAATCATGGGGAGCGCTAAAACCGCAAGGTTATACCAGCGCACAAGGGGGGATGGAAGTTATTAGGCCTCAATTCAGGGGACCGGAGGCAGATCCAATTCCCTATGATCATGAGCCTCACCAGCGTCAAAGGAACCTCCCTTAAGGGAAAATTATATACATAAAAAGGCTAGTCTTTACAATGTTTGTGGTTATGATAAATGGACAAGAACGTGAGAGAAAAGGGGTATGCATGAAATTCGCTGACATTTGCCTTCAGCGTGGGCGCCCGTGGGCTAAGCACGTGCCTTTACATCCATTAGTGCACGCCTTCGGCTACAGCATCTTCGTGGTGTACAGGTACTACGACCAGGAGTCTTGAGTTTCCCACCCTTCTTGGAAGTGTTTCCTCATAGTGCCCTCACCTCATTCTCTCTAGGTTGAAGTTCTCTAATCCTCTACGATCCATGGTTTTACATCTGCATGATTTTGCGAGGGGGATTGGTATTCATACCAAGTTAGCCCTATATTACTCTTCTTATTTTATAGCTCACTATAATTTTGATTATATTTCCCACGGGACAGAGTTAACACTTGAAGGGCTTATAAAGCGACCAACGGTAAGGAAGGCGTGCACTGGGGAAAGGTATTTACAAAAGATGTAGTAAAGTTGATGTAATAAGCCGGGTTCGTTCCAGAAACTGGCTGAGAGCCACGATTTCTATATTTTTCAGCAACTAACAGAAACTTGATCGTATACTATTGATGAACTCATATATTTTCTTACTTTCTTATGTATTCCACTCTTGTGAAGGAACAAGTGGAGGGTGTAGGACCTATTCTTATGAAGGTTGCTTCCTCAGCTGTGTACATTGAATGAGAATAATTATGCTACTAAACTAGGATTGCAATAAAAAGACATATACTCAGATTACCGTACTTAAGAGATTTGCCCATTTCCCTGAGTTTCCAGAGTAACACGTCATACTTAAATATAAAATTTACATGGAATTGTTAAGCCCGTAAGTGTCACATTATTATCATAATCAAAAAGGGCTAAGCCACAAGGGCTATACAGTGTTGCAGGGCAGGAAGGAAGCGAGGGCATCAGGTGGCAAAAGCGGAGATGGAAATGAGTAATCGGTTACGGAATACAGCGGGGCGGAAGTGGATGGTGAGAAAGGGTAAAGGGCAGCAATGAGAACTGAAACTAGAAGGGCTAAGGGGGGGTGCGAAAAAAGTCATTCATCAGGAGTTTGTGGAGTAATATCTGTCGTTGTCAAAGAAGTCAATGAGAGAGTCAGGATTTAAGGAGGGTTCCATCAGCAAGAAGGGAATAGGTAGAGAGAGTAGTAGAACGTTGGAGGTTTAAATTCTGCGTTGTGCTCGTTGTTAGAGAGTGGCAGTTAACAGAAGTGCTAATTGATAATGGAAACTTGACCTCTGCTCACAGGAGGTAACAGGGGGTCTTCTCCTTCGATGATACCCACGAGTAAGACGAGTGTGGCCAATGACGAAGGCGGGAGAGGAGTGGTCTCCCAACCTCGCAATGATGACCAAGGAAGACGGCCTGTAAACTATGCTCGCTTTAATAGAATGAAGTTTGTTACCAAGCAGAGTTGACCAACGTTTGTTGACAACGTGGTGTGAAGGTGGGTAGCCTTTGCAGCAAAATAGTCCAGAAATGGAAAACCTCTATAGGAAATTGGTTGGTCATGTACTGTTGACAGCCGCATCGGCAGATGTCTGCCTGTTCATTGCCCTGTACGTCGACCATGACAGGGACCCCAACCAAAAACAATACTTTTATGCTGGTAGGAGATACGGCGTAGCCAAAGTTGGATACGCGAGAACTAGGGGGTGAGATGTATCAAATTATCGTTAGCCTGTAAGAGCACAAGGGAGTCTGAGACTACCACAAATGATGACCACAGGCTAGATGCGATTTGATAAGGCCTGGAGAGAATGGCATAAAAATTCAGCAGTATAAAATGGTAGCGAAGATTAGTAAATGCCCTCGCAACAAACGCTGTCCGGAAACACTGCCTTCGAATCTGACACCGTCTTCTTCTGAAGACTTTGAGCCATCTGTGTACACAGCGCGATGGCATGTGAATGAGAGTGGAATTCGTGAACAAGGAAAAAAAGGAGCAGGATGGCCACCGCAGGCAATTGGGCTTTCGTGCAAGGGAGTGAGAAAGAACTTACCCGAAACAACTGGAAACTTCCAGGGGTGGTAAAGGAAAAAAGTGAAGATGCTACATGAGGCATAATAAAGGTGGTAAATGAAGGGGAAGACGAGCAAATGTAGGAGAATTATTATTAAATCAATGGGGGAAGGGCTAAACCCGGAGGATTATACAGCGCTGGAGGGGGGATGTGCGAAGGCATTCGGCTTAATTTTGGGGAACCTGGAGCACAGATCCAATTCCCAAAATCAAGAGCCCCCTCTCAATACATCAAAGGAACCTTTCCTTGAGGGGTATGTAAGCGAAGAGAAAAGGACGGAGCAAAACAGGGCGGCGAACAAATAAAGTTTGTCTACTAATATCGGTGACCATATTCTATAAATGAAGGACTTGTGGCGATCGTGAGAGGTGTACATAGTAGCGATGGCAATGGGCATTCACTGATAGACAAGGATGGAACATTCGCTTCTGATAGGGGCATCTCAACAGGGGAAGAGTGAAAAGCACCAAGGCATAAACGTAATCCTGGTGATGGGATGGGGTTAAGGCTAGAGTGAGTAGCAGGAGAGGGGCCGCCTGAATAAATTGGTTCACCATAATCGAGTTTTGATAAAACGAGGGCGGACTGAATGTAGGCCGAAGCAAGAGTTCGACGATCAGCTCCCCAGGAAGATGTACTAGGGTTTATTTTAAGGTTTAGACGGTGTGTGACAAGTTGCATTCAGAGAGGTAATGTGAGGTTTCCAGGATAACCTATGGGTCAAGAGGTAGGGGGAAAGGAAGGGGGGGGGGAGGGGGGGGGGGGGTGGGACCCTAGAAACCTGACTATCATGTTGGGGATACGGGGGAGAGCCATAGAGATACAAAGGGATGATCGGAGATGACAGACGCGTCTAGTGGAAGTAATTTGGTGAGTTTTGGTATGGAAAATTTAAACCATGTGTGGTGGCCCAAGTGGAAAAACGGTCGACTGCATGCTGGAGAGGAACTGCAAGTTGTGATGACTGTCAGCGCATGCACAAGCCAATAGCTATGTCATCAACATAGAGCGATGAACCAAATATTGGATGGAAGAACAGAGGCCAAATCATTTATAGCAAGGAGAGAAAAAGTTTTTGTGCTCAAAACACATCACTGAGGGACACCTTTCAGCTTGGACAAGTCCGGGGGGGAAAGCACATTATTGACTCAACACGGAAGTATCTGTCAGTTATTTATTATTATTATAATAAAAAAGAAGCGCTAAGGCACAAGGATCTGTCAGTTAAAAAGTTCTTAAGGAAGGATGGTAGATTGCTCGGAAGGCCTAAGGAGTGGGCTTGGGCCAAAATATTTACCTCCAAGTTGTGTCATATCCTTTCTCAAGTGTCAAAAAATATGGCAATAACTCGAGCGTTTATTTGCAAAGGCATACGAACGTTTAGGTATCCAAGCATAGTAAGGGGTCTATGGTAGAACGGCCCTTACGAAAGCCATATTGACTAACCGAGAGACTGTTGTGTGCCTCTCTCGAAATACCACATTAAACGGCGATTTACCAGACGTGCCATCACTTTGCAAAACTGCACTAGTAAGAGCGATGGGACGATTGTGGGAGCATCATGTCTGTAGTACCCCGTTGCAGAAAGGGGAGAACAATGGCAGTTTCCTCAGCTGGGGAAGAAACTCCTTTGTGCCCAAATAGATTGAAGCAGGTGGTAAAGGACTAAAAAGCTGACGGGATATAAATGTTTGTATCATACAAATAGAATGTTGTTCTGGGCCCAGCTGCGATGATTCGGCAAGCTGAGAGTGTTGCCTCCAGTTCTCTCGAAGTGTTAAAAAGGCAATTATAACTGTTCTTCTCTGAGAGAAGAAAAAGTCCAAAGGTACTACTCTATGGCAGGGACTTTGAGGAAAGAAATCGAGGGGCATAGATGGAGTCCCCCGGGAAATGCGGACCAGATGACGTGCTAATTTCAATGGCAAAGTCGAGGGTTTGCTACATCATTACGGCGACCCGTTAGAAACAGGATTGAGCCGGGGTCAGGAGAGTATTTACCGCTAATTTCCTCAATTTTTTCCAGACTGCACTCATAGAGGATGCAGAGTGGTGATGCGGTGGAAACTGTCTACGCCAAGCAAGAGCGTTTTGCATCACGAATGACACGGTCGAGCGATCGCACGCTTCTGCTTAAAATCAAGACAGTTTCTCATGTTTATTTGTATCGGTACATGACCCCATGGTAGTGGCGTTTCAAACGTACTGCACCAGCACAGCAGGAGACCACCGAGGCACGCAATTCTGAGAATTCTTGCATGAGGTTTGGGGTATAGATGAGAAGCTGTGGTATAATCTGACGTCGAGATTGAGGTTTGTGGAGCCTTCATCAATGGAGGATGAAGAAGGAACCTCACTAAAAAGCGTGAGTTGTGAGTAAAGGTCCCAATTTGCCCAATCAAATTGCCACGATGGGCTTACGGAAAGGTGGTGCCGAATATGAAGAAGTAAGACATGTATTGGAAATGATTCCGGTCATGTAAATCGGTTAGAAGAGAAAAACCAGGTGAAGTCTAGTGCAGTGGAGGAATGAGCAGATGATAGATCATGCAAGAGAGGAGTATGAGTACTGGATCCAAAATGGGTGGGGAGTACCCGTATTTAAAACATGGAGGGGGTGAGAGGCGAGATAGCCTCCAACTGGATGCCAATGTAGTCACAATGAGGACCCCCCCCCAGAGGAAATGGTGGGCGTATTAAAATCACAAAGTAACAGAAGTGGTGGTGGTAAGGATTGAAACAAGAGGCAAAGTCTGGGATAGGAAAAATGCTCGAGGGAGAGATGTATAAAGAAATATTGGTAAACCATATTCAAGTGGATAGGGCTGCAGTGTTTAATGCAGCGAGGTATGGACAAATAGTTGACAGTACGGAATATCATTGCCTGTAGAAGAAGGGCACTTTTCATTAAAGGTCCCATCTGAGAAAGGTTCAAAGGAATACAATAAATTTATAGCTGAGATAGGCTGGAAAACAGCAAGAGTAATTTTGGTTCTTGTAAGCCAAGACCAACATGGGGAAAACCTGGAAAGCAACATCTGAAGCTCACCCGATTACCCCTGAGGCGAGGATTATTCCACTGTAAAATAGGCATGATTGGCGATGAGAGAAAATACCAGGATCCGTAGCGGAAAGGGCACAATACTCGGATAG